GAACTACTCAAACAGGAAATGGAAGAAGGTCGTATAGAAAATTGTGCAGTCACAGCATGAGATCACATGAGATGGAGAGTGGTGAGCCAGGAGCTGGGCTATGGAGACCATGGTGGAAGTCTAACACAAGAGCCCAGACCTGAAACTCTATGGAAAGAATGGCACAAGTGATTGCAAACAAAGAACCAGGTACCAGATGCAATAAGCAAAGCTGAACTGCAGACCTGTGGGCGATATAACTTGGAAATCTGCCCTAAGGAGAAAAATCTGCTAACCAGAAGTACAATGACCAAGAGCAAAAGAAGAGACAGAGGCACAACAAATATTACTGAAGACTCCCTCGCAAAGGTCAAAAGCCTTTGCCAACCTCAGAGCTGAGAAATACATTGAAGAAATGGAGGACACAGAATTCAAAACACTTGTTATAAAAATTCTTATCAACAACAAGAAGCATGTAATACAGGAGTTTAAGGAATTTAAGGAATATGTCATACAGGAAATCAATCAAATGAAAGCTGATATATAAAAACTGGGCAATACAGTGGAACAAACTAAAAATACATTGGAGAGTCTCCAAAATAGAAAGAACACAGCAGAAGAAAAAATCTCAGAATTGGAAGATATTTCGTTTCACCAGGGAGAAATAAACAAAAAGTTGGAAACAGAGCTGGGTCAAGCTAAAAAAAAAAGTATTCGAGAATTGAAAGACACTATTAAAAGGCTAAATATAAGAGTTATGGGAGTCTCAGAAGGTGCAGAAAGAGAAGCTGGTTTTAAAGTTGTATTCAATGAAAAAATAAAAACTTCCCTAATCTGGAGAAAGAATTGGGAAACAGCATCCAAGAGGGGTACAGAATCCCCATTAGGATTGACCAAAACTGACCATCACAACAACACATGATAATCAAGCTCTCTTCAAACATAAAAAAAAAGATCCTTAAATGTGTACATGAAAAAAGAAAATCAATTCACCTATACAGGAATGGTAATCAGGCTCTCAGCTGACTTCTCATAGGAAACACTATAGGCCAGAGAATGGAGTGACATATTCCAGATTCTAAAAGTAAAAAACTGTAGGCCCAGAATTATGTACCCAGCAAATCTTTCCTTTGTCTTTGAAAATGAAATAAATATCTTCCAAAGCAAAGAAAAGTAAAAGGAATATGCCTCTTTCAAACCTGCCCTACAACTGATACTTAAAGATGTTCTCTTGACAGAGAAAAGGAATAGCACCCACCAAAACCAAAAGCAAAAGTGAAGAATATCCCAGTAAAATAACAACAGAAGAGTAAATCAAACAACACATTGCTAAAATGACAGGAACAAATTACCATCTGTTCATACTAACCATGAATGTAAAAGGCTTAAAACCATCAATAAATGTCATAGATTAATAGACTAGATCAAAAAACAAACCCCATCTATCTGCTGTCTACAGAAAGAAATGGATTTTGATGTTTTGTTTTTATTTTCAGTTTTTTAAAACTTTTTTTCCTCAAATTCTTCACTAAATCATAGGTCATACAGTAGCATCATTTTGTTCAAGAAGGTGCTTCATTTTTCATTTTCTTGGGAGCACATTATTCAGTGTCATGTTATTTAACTTCAGGGTACTGTAAATTTCTCTTTCTTCATGTTGTTGGTTTTGTTTGTGGCTTTTAATGAAATGTATAATAACTGTTTAATGGAGACTATCATTATCCAAATGTGAGGATGCAATGCAGTATGCATATGTACTTCCAGATCAAAGATGGATTCCCAATTAAAATGTTGAATTTATCTTTAAAATAGGATGCTGGATTATCTGTCATTGTCCATGCCTGCAATAATGGACTTGTGACTGTTTATGAAGAACTATATTATTGTAATAATGTGTGGGAAATCAGTTGGGGAAGGAAGGGTTTTGGGGAGGGGGTCAGGGAAATCCCAGAGCCTACGGAACTGTATTATAAATAATGATAACAAAAAATGGGGAAAAAGGAAAAAAAGAAAAACATAGTAAAAAAAAAAAAAAGTAGATCAGTTGAAAGTCCAATGAGCAACATCTCAGAAAGAGGTTTAGCCTACTATGCCATAGTATCACTCCCCCTATTTGAACTTCACATCATAATTTTAATAGATATAGAATTCCGGCTGGGGGATTCTAGCATATATTGGTGGTGTTCTTTGGCTATTTTAAGTGTTTCAATGCACTCTTTTCTGTCTCATGGTTTCTGATGTAATTTTATTGTAAAACAAAATATTAATTTCTATTCTTGCTCACCTATAATCAAAAACCTCTGTCTTTTAAGCAATCCCAAGCTGTTTTATGTTTGTGTGTATGTGTTTATCTCTGACTTGCTTCAAACTGAAGACACCATGACTAAATGAAATAAATTTGGTACTTAGTCTCTTTTGTAAAAAATAAAAATAAAATAAAATAAAATAAAATATTACATGTGACAACACAGCTGAATACAACACATCTTCCACCTACCTACCTAACATTAAAACAAAACAAAGCCATATTTTAAAATGTATGAAAGATGGTTGTAAAAGTATAAAGAAAAACATGAAAATAATTTTCCACAAAAAATAATATCATAATTATCATTATTGGAGAAGGAAGAGAATGTGGCCAGAGGAAAAAATGAGGTTAAAAAGTTTTCTAAGAAGAAAAACAGATAACAGGCTGCAGTTAAACTTTTTAAAAAGTAAACAGGACAAATCAGTAAAACTGCATTTAGAAAAGTGCTGTTCATAGCACTATTCATAGCAGTAAGTAAATTAACACAGGGTTGGGAGAGAAAATGTAACAAAAGGAATTTGACAATGATGAATGCAGTATCAATGATATAGAAAATTTTTAAAGAATAGTTTTTTCTTAAGATTTATTTATTTGAAAGGCAGAGTTACAAAGAGAAAAAGTGAAGCAGAAAGAGATATCTTCTATCTACTGATTCATTTCCCAAAATGCCAAAGAAGTCAAGGCAAGGCTAGGCCAAAGTCGGGCTCCTGAAACTCCATCTGGGTCTCCCATTGGTGTGGCACAAGCCTGGTACATGGGACATCTTCCGCTTTCCCAGGCACATTAGCAAGTGGCAGATCAAAAGTAGAGCAACCTGAACTGAAACTGGCACTCAATACTGCGCAATAACACTGGTCCCCCAAATTAAAGATTTACTTTTAAATTTTATTTTAATTTGAAAGCAAGAAATACAGAGAGAAAGAGAGAGAGAGAGAGAGAGAGAGAGAGAGAGAGAGAGAGAGATAGGGAGGGAGAGACCAAGAAAGAATTTCCATCCATCCAGGTGGTTGCAATGGTCAGGGCTGGGACAGGCCTGGACCTTCTTCTGGGTCTCTCACATGAGTGGTAGGGACCAAAGACTTGTGTATCTTCAGCTGCTTTTCCCGGGCTATTAGTGGAGAGCAGGAGCAAAGTGGAGCACTGAGATACAAACTGGCACTCATATGGGATGACAGCATCACAGGTGGCAACTTTACCTACTGTGCCAAAATGCAGGCCACCAAAATAAAAGCACTATTAAAGGAATTTGTGTACATTCTTAACTTTGAGAAACTAAAAAAAAAATATATATATACAAATTACATAACAACAGAAAACAGTAAATAGAGAAATATACATGAAAATACTAACAGAAGCTATTTCTGGGTGATAGAAGTATTGCTAATTTTTATTTTCTTCTTTATATTTATTGAGCATAAAGTAAGAGTGTATTTATGCTTAAAATTAGAAAATAGTGTCTTCTCACTGAAATAATTTTTGAGTAAACACCAATAAATTATTAGCATTTAAAATATTTTCATGGAATTAACAGAATTTAAAACATCTGCCATTTTTTTCTGGCACAGATTTTGTACAAATAGTATAACCTGGGGATTTAACCAATAGCCCAACAAGCTTGCTACTTCATGTAAGGCAACTGCTCATCTCATTACCCCTTGATCTTGTACTGCACAGGAATGTTGGGATCCACTCAGCATTTTTGATTCCAGGTGTTTTTCCTTCTAGCCCCTTTTATTCCTCAAAACAGAATCATGGGAAGACACAGAAAATAAAGAGTCTTGCTGAGCATCCCACTGGTGTTAAGTAAAAATAATGATATTAATGTGCCTAAGATTAAAGAAAGTGCTAAATTTGGAAAATCGCTGGGAAAAGCTTAAATTTAGAATACAAGGAACATAACCAGATAGGAACTAGCATATTTGACAGCTCTAAAAGATACTGTCAATCATTTCAAGTGGATTCACTTAATCTATAGAAGTTTAAAGCTTATGAAAATCCTTAAAAATATGTGGGAAATTCACATTATCAAAATTATGCGTACAGTTAAAACTTTTATGGCCAAACATAAATTTACTTTTTAATTGCATAATTCATTAATTTTTCTGAAGTATTATCATAAATCTGCTTTATCTTCAGCTTATTTCCTTATGAAATATAAAAAAATTCAGTTGACTTTCACTAATTTTTAGAATATAATCAGCTTCATTTATACATTTATAAATTTAATTTTAATAATTTAAAAATTATCTAATTTTTAATAAAATAACATTACACTAAATTGATTTGTGTAATCAGATAAAAATCTAAAATTTCTTGGAAATACACATATCCCCAAACATTAAAGTTGTTTTCCTTCGTTTGACACCATTTTCTTTGATATGTTTCTCTGGCCTCCAAATAAAACTAAATTCTTACATAGTGAACACTTCCTTTCTCTTCCTCTATTTCCTTAATTTTATCTGAAACCTTTTATTTTAAGAGCAGTAAAGGTGATAGTTTGCTATAACTATTTTGATTTTCTTTTTAAGTACTTAAATTTTTGTTTTGTTTTCCTAACTAGAAAAGCTTATTTTTAAAAATCTCCAAATGGAACTGTTGTTTTATTTTTCTTTTGCTTCTATTTGTAAAGCTAGGTTTGTCCAGAATGTCCTTACAGACTTAACTGGTAAAGTGTACTGTAATAATCTTTTTCTTTCATACTAGTACAATTCACCTTCTTCCTGATTCCTGTTAAGAAGTTCTTTCAGAGTGTTTTCTAACAAACTGGGATCTCTTCCAGATTCTTCTTTTGACAAAGTTACACTAACTGGTCTGAGAACTGTTCCATCAACCTCAGCAACATCATTATTACTCTGCCGCTCATCTATAGTAACTGTTGATGCTGAATACACATTTCCTAAATGGTCCATTATAGGAAGCAAATACAATTCTGGTTGAAGAGCCTAAAACATACAGGAAATTTTAAAAATTAGTTTTAAAATAAAAAACTGGAGTTTAAAAATTAGCATCATAAGTTTAAAATATCACATTACATACATATGGAGGAGCAAATGATTTGAGTTTCAGTTCTGATTCTTGTTTTTCCTTTACCTGGAAATAAATAAATTAGAAAAAAAGCTTTTGTAGCATTTTTGCAATTAGTTTTACCTCCACATTTTTGCAGAATGCATATTTTTGTGGTATATTATGGCCAGATCCATTGCATCAACATAGTAGAAATTCTATGTCTTCTAATAGTAATCATTATAGCTATCACTGTTATGAACCCACTATGTGCCAGACATAACTTTAAGTACTTGATTACATTAATTAAGCCTTATGACTTCATGTGATCAGTACTAATACTACCCACACGTTACAAAGAGGCACAGAGAAGTACTTACCTCAGATTGTTTTACTAGAGTTTCTACACTGACTCAAAACAGGCAGTCTGACTTCAGGATCCAACCTTGCAAACCTTATTTTCCACCCATTCATCTCATACAGTTATTCATTTATTTAATTTATTTTTTATCTATCTATTTATTTATTCATTCATTCATTTAAGCAAATACTGAGGGAATACTATGTGTCAGACAGTATTTACCTGACGGGGTAGGGATACAAGGCAAAGTCCCCGCCCTCAGTAAGCTTACATTCTACTCAGGGGAGAAGGCATTAGACAAAGAAAGAAATGTGATTTGGGACTGTGAAATGTATCTTAGGAAACTAAAACAGGGTGAAGTAACAGAGAAAAACACCAGGTGGTCAAGGAAGGCCTTTAGGAAAAGGTAACACTTGAGCTCAGATTTGAATTAAGAAAAGCAACAGCCAGCTATCCAATCATGAAAGAGAAGTGATTTGCCAAATGAAGACCAAGCCCAGTGCAGTAGCCTAGCAGTTAAAGTTCTTAACTTGTGCATACCAGGATCCTGGTTGGGGGCTACAGTTCTAATCTTTGAACCCTGCTTTCCACCCAGCTCCCTGCTTGTGGCCTGGAAAAGTAGTTGAGGATGGCCCAAAGCCTTGGGACCCTGCATCCGCATGGAAGACCCTAAAGAGGCTCCAGGCTCCTGCCTTTGGATCTGTGTATCTCCGGCCATTGCGGCTGCTTGAGGTATGAATCAATGGACGAAAGATCTTCCTCTCTGTCTCTCCTCCTCTCTGTATATCTGACTTTCTAACAAAAAATTTAAAAATAAATCTTTTTTAAAAAAAGAAATGAAGACCAAAGGAAGATTTTTGTCGCTTAATTATAGGACCTAGAAAAAGATATAATAATAGATTAAATCTAAGAGATTGCCTAAGTTTATCCCCTGGAGCAGCACTGGGAAACGGTTGTACTGCTGAGGACCAATTAGATATTTATAACATCATTTGAGGATCATATAAAATTATCAACTTAAAAATCATCCTGATATAGGGGAAATTCAAGGTTGTTGAATAGGGAACAGCCACAGTAACTTAAGCTGCTTTGGGATATGAAAAAAATCAAAGGAAGGACTATGTTTCTAGAGATGTGAACAATGGAAATATTTGATGGCAAAGGAACCAAAACAAACAATTCCAGGTTACAAAAGCAGAGAAGACAGAGACTGTTATAGTCAACCACATTATCTGTAAGCCTCCATGTTACCATGATATGGTAGAAAAGGACTACCTCCTGCCAGCTTCCGGTAGTTTCAGCTGAATGGGAATTCCAGAGTCACCTACTGATTTCTACCTCAGCCCAGGGAGATGACTGATGTCTGAGCAATGGCTGGATTTAGAACAGGGAAGCTGACTTGCATCCGTTTCCTCCCCCGCTCCTACAGAGCCAAGCACTCAGCTGGGGAAAGTCACAGAGCCCAACTCTCTTTGCCTCTACCACCATCATAGAACCAGGGCAATGTGTGGGTCAAAGAATGGACTTCCTGCATCCTGCAACTCTGAGAGTTTTGGGCATTAAGCCCAGAGCCATGATCAAGCACTCTGTGAATAATGGAGATTCAACTTAAGCAGCCCATTACAAAATCTACTCCCACCTGGGAGATCTGGGCAATGGCTCCACTGTTCCTGAAATACCAGGACTTTAATAATCTGTTCTAAATTTCCTGCTACCACTGGAAGCTACCAAGTGGGCACAAGGAAAAACCTGCCTACATTCTACCTGTTTGAACTAATATTCTCCAGAGTAAAATCTCTTTTATACCTTATAGTCACCCTGTAGGGCTGCAAGAGTGGTCAATTCGTATCCTCCAGTCCTAGGTCTAGAGCTGTTCATATGATAAGCCATAGCACCAGCTGGACTCTCCCCACGGGTTGTAGGAAGGATCCATCCACAGCCACAATACTAGAAGCACAGCAATTGTGTCACAAGCCCTGGCATCACTCAAAATTGTCAGTAGGACAAGGGGACAAAGAACTTTGTCACCCTTAGCACCAAGAACAAGGCCCAGGGCCCAGCGCAGTAGCCTAATGGCTGAAGTCCTCATCTCATATGCACCAGGATCTCATATGGGCACCAATTCATATCTTGGCAGCCCCGCTTCCCATCCAGCTCCCTGCTTGCGGCCTGGAAGAGTAGTTGAGGACAGCCCAAAGCCTTGGAACCCTGCACCCGCATGGGAGACCCTAAAGAGGCTCTGGGTTCCTGGCTTTGGATCCGTGTAGCTCCAGCCGTTGTGGCTGTTGGGGTATGAATCAACGGGCAGAAGATCTTCCTCTCTGTCTCTCCTCCTCTATGTATATCTGACTTAACAATAATAAATAAATCTTAAAAAAATAAAAAAGAACACAAGGCCCTAGCCATAACATGCACCAGAGAGACTGACACTGGGATATCTGTGGACCAAAAGCCAAGGAAACCCTGATTCATCTCAATTCCCACAAACTGCAACAGACTAGGCTCCTGTGTTAATTATAGACACAGCTGACATTAAGACAAAAGAAACCAGAGACTATATTCCTGGACCTACCTAGAGCCGAAACTAAAGCAATCGATCAAACGATATCCAGAATTCCAGCTTAACCAAAGAATGAAAAAGCTTTACAATGAAGTTCATCAATCTTTAACGAAAAATCATCAGGGACATACAAACACGTAATGGAAAAATACTCCTTGTTCATAAATTGGAAGAATCAGTATTATTAAAATGTCTACACTACCTAAAACAATCTGCATATTCAATGAAGTCTATATTAAAATAGCAACGGAATTCTTTAAAGAATTTTAAAAACGGATAAATTATATGTATTATAAGTGGGAAAATTATAAACATAAAATTTATATGTGATCACAAAAGACCAGATAGCCAAAGAGATTCCAAACCAAAAAAGAAATTAAGCTAGAAGCATCACAATGCCTTATTTTCAAGCATACTACAAAGCAACAGCAATTAAATCAGCATGGTACTGGAATAAAAACTGATACAGTGGACTAAACTATACAATCCAGGAATTAATCCATATACATACAACCAACTGATTTTTGACAAAAGTGCTCAGACCCATACAGTGGAATAAGAATAATCTCTTCAACAAATGATGCTGGCAAAACTGAATGTGTATCTGAAGAAGAATGAAATTAGACCCATACCTCTCACCATATAAAAAACGAACTCAAGATGGAAAAAAGATACAAGTTTAAGATCTGAGACTATGAAATTGCTGGAAGAAAATAGGTGAACCACTTCTAGACATTGGTGCTGGGAACATCTTCTTGGATATGACCCTTAAAGCACAGGCAGCAAAAATAAATGGGAAAAAACAAATTCAGCTTTTGCATATCAAAGAAAGCAATCAACAGAGTGAAAGAAGACATCTAACAATGTAAACAAAAACTTGCAAAGTACCTATCTGACCAAAAGTTAATATCCTGAATATACCGGGGACTTAAAAACTCAACAACAACAACAACAACAACAAACCAACAGCAAAGACTTTAAGGAGGCCCGGTCCTGACACATACACTCCAAGGTTGGACCACATATATCGTAATTTTTTTCCTGTGACCAGGATTTGAGTCCAGCAATCTAGTTGAGATGTTCCCCAAGAAACTGTCACATATGAGATATATATAGCCCCTGTGAGTGTCATATGAATTCAAGCCTGGCACAGCCCATCACCACCCCCAGCTCTCTGAGCAAACCAGTGGGTGCTACAGTCACAAAGATGAGCCCATAAGTCCCCTACAGAGTCAGCCCCTAGATCTGGTTCTCTCATATTTTGGTGGGTGCTGTGGCCCAACCTGCTGTGATCCACCTCTTGCTCCATCACTCATTGGGGGGGTACTATGGTCTATCTCAACCTGACATGCTCCCCAGCCCCAGCTTTTGTATGTATTAGCAAGAGGTGGGCGATGTTCTTTAGCCCAGCCTATGTCTCTAAACTATTCTGTCTCAGCTCCCTTGCTCACCCGCAAGTGCAGTGGCTTAGTCCATGGCAGACCTCAGAAGTCATTCCTCCCCTACCAAACATGCCCTCCACCTCTCCCACTCCAATCCATCCCCACACTTCCTACCCCAAGTAATCTGCCTGGGGACTGGTGTGTCATGCTTCGTTCTAGCATTCCTTGCCTTCCTCATATGTCTTTAAAAAAAAAAAAATGGAGTGGGCAACTATGCTAACACACTCATATAGCTAACAAAAATTTGACATTAACCAGGTCCAGAACACTTACCAGCTTTGGCTGCTTTTCTCCCAGCAGTATAACACTTGCCTAGATAACATCCCTTCATTGTAAAAAAGTCTTAAAAGATTAGGTACAGAAGGAATATACCTCAATACATTAAAGGCTACAGATGACAGGAGAAAGAAACTAGATCCTGTCTCATTGTACAAAAAAGTTAACCTAAACTATCGAAGACTGAAATTTTGAAAGTACCAAAATATAGGAAAAATGCTTCAGAAGACTTCAGTGAATAAATATTTTTGGATTGTAACTTGAAAGGTACAGATAATAAAAGCAAAAATTAACAAGTGGGTTACATTGGACTATAAAAGTTCCTGCAAAGAAAATGATCAACAGAGTAAAGACATATTTACCAAATGGGATAAAGTAACTGTAAATTATTCACTCAGCAAGCATCAGTGGTGTGGCACAGTGGGTAAAGTTGTTGCCTATGATACCGGCATCCCATAAGGGTACTTACTGGTCCTTTTCTGACTATTCCACTTGTGATCCCTGCTAATGGCCTGAAAAAAGCAGTAGGAGATGGTCCAAGTGAGTGGGCTTCTGCCACCCATGTGGGAAATCAAGTGAAGCTCCTAGTTCCTGGCTTTAGCCTGGCCGAGCTCTGTCCATTATGACCATCTGTGTAGGGTACCAGGGTATGGAAGACTCTTTTTTGTTCACTCTCTCTGTGTCTCTACTCACTCTTCCTCCACACACACAACGCCACCAACCATACATCTATCTTGTTCTCTCCTTCTCTGTAAATCTTTCAAAATAAATATTTTGTTAAAAAAATTCAGCATCATTAATCATCAAGCAAATGCAATTCAAATGAGATCACAGTGAAATATCATCTCATCCTAGTTAGAATGGCAAACCCAAGCAAATATGTGGAGAAAGGGGACTCTGACACATGGCTGCTGATAAAAACATAAATTACTTCATCCATCATGAAAAACAGTTTGGCAGTTCCTCAGATAACTAGAAATAGAATGAGCGCATGACCTAACAATCCCACTGCTTGATACATATCCAACAAAAATGATATCAGTATGTTGAAAAGACTCTAACATTCACATGTTTTTTGCAGCACTATTCACAACAGTCAAGACATAAAATCAGCTTTTATGTCCATTGATAGTTGAATAAAGAAAATGTGAATATAAACACAATGGAATGCTATCCAGCCATAAAAAAGTGGAATTCTGTCATTTGCAGCAACAAAGATGGAAATGGAGGATGCTGTGCTCACTTTGGCAGCACAAATACTAAAGTTGGATGTGGAGGATATTATGCACAGTGAGAACGCCATGGCAATGGTAGGGGTTGGGGCAGGGATTTGATTGTTCCCAAGATGCAAAAATGACATCTGACTTGGGGCAATAGGTGTGCACATTATTCTAGCCTAATAATTATACATTATGTACATGTTTTTAAATGCCACACGATACCATATAAATATGTACAATTAAAAATAAAATTCAATCCACCTCCAACAGAAAAAAGCTTTTCTCACTCTTAAACCTTGCAAAACATCAAATATTTATCTTTGTCTTTAAAGAGCTGAAAGAAATTCCTGATTTCTGGTTTCAGCCTGGTTCTGCTTTGTTTGTTGTACTCATTTGGAGTCTGAACCACTGGATGGAAGGAAGTCTCTGTTTCTTCCCCTCTCTTTGTAATTTTGTCTTTCCAATAAATAAACAAATCTTAAAGAAAAAAAATCCACAAAGTAAATTAAGGTAATTATTTGGGGAAAATGATTATTTTTGTGCACTGCCATTTATTTTTTATTTATTCAATGAACATGTAAATACTTCTGCTGCTAAGTATTGATTATTAATACAATGGCAAATAAAATAAAGGAACTGTCCAAAAGGAACTATAAAGTAATCATAGAGTGATATGCTAACAATTACATAAATAAATACATAGTTGTGGCATACTAACTAGGGTAAAACAATAGATTGGGTTTTAAAGAGTGTAAATATGTAAAATATCTACCAAAGAATAAATCCTAAATAGACATGAAAAAACAGAAACTTTGGATTCTTTTTTTATTTAAGACTTATTTATTTTTATTGGAAAGTCAGATTTACAGAGTGAAGGAGAGATAGACAGAAAGATCTTCTGTCTGCTGGTTCATTCCCCAAATGGCTGCAATGGCCAGACCTGAGCTGATCCGAAGCCAGGAGCCAGGAGCTTCTTCCCAGGTGGATTCAGGCTCCCAAGACATTAGGCCATCCTCTACTGCTTGCCCAGGCCAACCAGGGAGCTGGAAGGGAAGTGGAGCAGCTGGGACACCGGTGCCCTTATAGGATCCTGGTTCATGCAAGGCAAGGACTTTAGCCACTAGGCTACCACACCAGGCCTGAAACCTGGGATTCTGATGGCATGCTAGATTGAAATTTTCAGCCAAACAACTATCTCTTTTAAAGAGCTTATTGCCAGATCATAGAAACTACCAATAGAAGTATTTAAAACAGATATACACTGACACAAAAATTATGCTGGTGTTGCCAGCCGCATCTGTATGTACTGGCCACATGCCGTACCCAAAATGGCGCCGGCCGGAGAAGCCACACTTGGTGCCTGGTGGAGAGTCACGTAGCTTTTGTGGAACTGCGCTATGCGCCTGCGCAGTGAGCTGTGGCGTGGCCGGCACATGAACACTGGGGACTGACGAATCCGGTGGCCCAGGACCCTGCGTAATCATGACGCCGACCTATCATCGGCGGAGGCGGGGCCAGTCAGCACATAAGAGCAGACAACCTGCCGGGGTCAGGGCCCTTTCCTCTTCCTCATCTTGGTGTGCACAATAAATTTTACCGCAGAAGGCTTCACTCGCGTCTGCCTCTTATTGCGGGGCGATAAGACACGTGGGCGCGACATGCTGGGAGTGTAAACATTTTTATACCAAATGAGGCAACTTATGATCCAAGCAATGATAACCCCATTTTTTTAACCGGGAAATTGTCACTTTAATTTTTAAATGTCTATTACTTACATGACCACATTTTATTATTCTATTTATTTCATTTGAGAAGGGAAGTTAGAAAGAGATCCCATCCACTGTTCCATTCACCAATTGCCCCATACAATCAGGAAGCTGAAGAGATGGATTCTCACTGTGAGTCTCCTATGTGGGTATAGGAACTCAATTACTTGAACAATCACTGCTTCCTCCCAGGTGCTGAGCTGGTAGGAAGGTTGAATCAGGATCAAACTTGATATGGGATGCATGCATCCCAATAGCTAAGCCAAACACCTGCTCCTTAGCACGTTTTACATTGCTTCTCACATTTTCTCAAGGAAATTTATTTTAATGCCTGATGACATACCAATGAACCCATCTTTTTTGATCTAAATCCTTGACAATATTTCCATTCTACCATGATTGAGATTACACATTCTACAGTATGTTAAGGAGCTCAGTTATTAAGCACTTAACATTTAAATATAATTTGATATGGTAAGCTTTTCTTTAATCAGAAGGAATAAATTAAGAAAACTCACCACAGCTAAATTATTTCCAATGCATTTCAGAAATAAGAATTTTTCTGCAACAGCATCTTCACCGAGAAACTCACCAAGACGTTCCCTCAGGGCTTGTAAAGTAAGATGAGGAGATACTCTGAAATATCACAAAATTACCTTACAATGTAAAACTAATAATCTTAGCTATCTCAAACATGAACACTGACTTAATGCATCTGACATAGCTTACCATGTTTACATACTGCCGGGTACTTTGTTGGTTTTCAGTAATATTTTTAAGACAGGTAACTGAAAGTTTATCTTTTAAAATTATACAAATGAAGTTTATGAATGAAGTACAAATGAAGTTGTACTGAAAATATTCTTTTTCTACCTTGCTAACAAAACTCCAAATTTTACCATTAAAAGAGAATTTTGGTATGGAATTTATACCCGTGTGTATGTGTGCTTATGTGTATAGACACAGATATTTATTTTGAATTTTTGATAGGAGTAGCTAGTACTTAAAATTTCTTTAACGACCTCCTAGTGTTCAGTTGTGGTTAATGATCAATAACTGAGTCAAGATACTGCAGTGTATGTTGGCTCTTTATCATACTGCCCAGAGAACTCTCTGGACCACAAGGACAGAATCATGAACATATTTTGAAAGTAAGATTCCAGAAAAGGCACAACACTGTTTTAAGAGGGTAGTAGAATTCCAGTGACTGTAAATTGTGGGAAAATCAGCAACTTCTTATATAAAATTCCTATGCAGAAACAGTTGTAAATAATCATATGCCATGTATCACCTGCCTATGTCTTCAAATCCCAAAGATGAACTTCAGTCATCCCAGCAATCAACTTCATTTGGTTCTCTGTGGATCAGTATTCTGACAAATAATGGAGTTCTTCTTAGGGATCAATATTTACTGACCTGTACTAACTGCCATCAATGAAGCTACCAATACCATGAAAAAAAATCATCTTTTGATGATCAAATTTCGTCCGCCTCTGTTTCTTTGCTCATTAGGGATACCTCATTCCTCAATGTCTACCACTTAGCATTCTCACGTTTTTGTTCTATGGTCCTGTAATTCTAGGGTCTAGTGAAGAATTATCTTATTTAATCAATAAATATTTATTGAACACCTACTATGTGCTAGAAATTGTTTCAAAGTATGGCATATTAGAGAGAATTAATTTATTTTATCAACAGATATTTACTACATTTTTAAATTTCCAGAGAACACTTTTCTCTAACAAAAAGGAATATTTCTCAGATAATTATAGGACTAAAATACTTGCCTTATAAATCCAGCTGAAATGAATTTGTTAACAACTTCTATTGAAATGGTATTTAACTTATAGTTCCATGATCCTTCAGGGACATAAAAAACATGAAGTTCCACGAGCTGAATAAATTAAAAAGAATATCAGTTAAAATATTTTTGAAGTAGAGGGAAAAATCAATTGATGTGATATAGAACTTTAAATTAAAAAATCGTAATGGAAATAGACATGGAATACATACATCTCTCAAAACAAAGAAAAAAAAAAATAAAGAGCCACAGTGTATTCTTGACCACTTCTGATATTGAGCACATTTTCCCTTAGGAACATCACAGCTGTGATTCCTAAGTTACCTTCAAAACTTTTCACACATGTTCTTTCTGTGGGCTGCAAAAAGAATGCTAGAGTGCATTCTTATCTCTATATCTTTGCCTCTTTCCTTTCCCTACCTATTCAGTTCCATTGGAGTGGAATCCTTACTCTTTTCATATTGTCTCCCTAGTACAGTTGTGATCACTGCAGCTCTCAGTACCTGCAAGAGCTAGAACTGTGGTTTAGGGGAATATATTTCTTCCCCAGAATCCCAAGGAGAATTAATTTCTGTCCAGTGATGGGATAAGAAATGTTAGCTCTTACATAGGACAAGTCTGTAAGTTCATACTTATTTATAACAACTTTCTGTCAATGTTTTGTTCTGCACTTATTTAAAATCTTTCTACATCTTAGAAACTTCTACAAATTTTAAAAAACTATTATTAATATTAGTAATCTATGTAAGAGATAAACCTGATTTTTGAACTTAAAGCTTTATTTAAGTTGTTTTTATGAAGGTAAGATATTCCTATACTTTTGAGGATGAATTTCCAGCCAACAATTTAAAATGTTTGTATAGATAAGACAATGACATTTGCCACATCGTCATTGTATACTCCAAAGCATTTAAATGATTTTTCCCTGGCTATGCTATTAAGTATCTATAAAATCATAACAAGTTTGAAATAGATATGATATTATCTTTAAGGAAATGCATGAATATTTTATAGGAGAAAATATTGCCTGAACTGAAATTCATACATTTATTTCTAAAAATATGTTTATTAATGGTTCATTTTTTCACAAAATAATAAAGTAGCTAAAAGATATTGAAAAAACTTAGTGCTCACAGTATTATTTAAGATCAAATGCTGCATTTATACAGAACTGTATTATATTTTTAATTTCATGGTTCAATGGCATAAAAGCAATAATATTTTCATTAAGATCATCATTGAATTTAAAATACATTAAATGATATAAAATATGCATGCATGTTTTTCTTTTTGCCTTATACTTCAAATGGCTAGCCAGGCATTATTGGTTCCTCTCTCTATTTAAGTTGTTGATATCTTATTCAAAAAGAATTACTTGTACTAATTTTAATTTTAAAAAATATTACACTAAAATATACATCTTGATTATTAAAATTTTTGGTGCTTCTTTAAATTTAGCACCAATGACAACTGCTTCTTTTGCCTCAGACTAGTTCTGACCTTGTGAGTGACACAGAAAATAAAATAAAAGCTATAAATATAAGTCAATAGCTTATATAGTACATTAGGAAGTATTATTCACTAGGAAAAAGGAATAAGGATAAGAAAGAATGGAGATATAAGGAATGAGACATTTTAGCTTTAGAAAGACTGCTTAGAGTAGGTATCAGGAAGAGGTGAGATCTTAGTAAAGACTTAAGTGAAAGAAGGAATTAGCAAAGAGAAGATTCACAGGCAGAGAATTCCAGTAAAAGCTAAAGCAAAGGCATGGGTAGTACACATTTCTAGGAGGGGAAAAAGATCCAGTTACTAATAAGCTTAGATGTCTATTAGTTATCCAAGTGGAGATGTCAGTTGAAGAGATATTTACATTTATGGAAGGTGCATTTTATGAAAAAATTATTCATGGATCCCCAATGGATTTTTGCATCAAAAACTCCCACATCTTTGAGTTTCATTTCCATTTCTCCAAAACTATTAAGTATTCTCATTTGTATGTGAATCTAGAGTTCAAATTGAGATGGGCTATAAACTTGGAAAATATTGACATAAAGATTTCTTTTTAATCTATTAGACTAGATGAGAACACCAAGGAATAAGTTACACAGAAAGGAGAATAGGAACTCTTGGGTTGGAAAACTCTAGAGTCTGTGTTGTGGTAAAGCATGGTGCATAAAGACAGCGCCTGAGATGCTGGCATCCCATATAGGTACCAATTTGTCTGGGTACTCCATTTCCGATACAGCTTCTTGTTAATGGCCTGGGAAAAGCAGAAGATGGCCCAAGTGTTTTAAGACCCTGTACTCATGGGAGACCTAGGGAAAGCTCCTGGCTCCTGACTTCAGCCTGGTTCAACACTAGCTGTGTTGGTCCTCTGGGAACTGAATCAAAGGATGGAGAATCTCTCTCTCTTGCTCTCCTTACTTGACATTTTCAAGTAAGTAAGTAAGTAAATAAATAAATATTTAAATAAAATAATAGTCTAATATTAAGGGAACAAAAATAAGACTAAGAATGAATATCCAGGAGTGTATAAAGAAAATCAGGATAATATGAGTGCCAAAAGCCAACAGAAGAAATTATTTTAAGGAAGGAAGAGTGATTAATGGTGCCCACTTTTGCATAAGGATAGATTAGGTATTTTTGAGTAAGAACTGACCAGTAGATTCTATGATGAAGAGATGGATTTAAAAAAACAATTTGCATAAAGTGAAAGTTTCTCTGTAGCTGTTTTTTATCTTTAAAATGGGAATTCTAGGGCTTAGAGAATATACCAAATGCTTTGCTAGAAGAGTGAACCAATGAGTGGCAGACAGTATTAATTGTCTATTTGCAAAAGACTCACTTGAGACCCTTGGATATGAATTAAAATAAGAACATGAATTGTTAGTGTATTTTTCTCCAGCCATCTTCAACTGTTCAAGAGTATATGTAGGATAGTTGGAGAAATCGGATAAACAGAACACTGAAGAGAGGGCTAAAGGGGTCAAAAATATGTGCAGTGGAATGATCTCTCTATGCAAGATATCAACAGCTCAGGGATGGTAAAAAAAAACAAATCAGGAATCAATATACTAGAGGTTCAAATACAATAATAGCAGAGGAAGTAAGCAGAGACATAAGAACTGTATCAGATCATGGGAGGCATAAAATTGGGATAATGATAAAGTCAATTCCTAATACTTCCTATAACTTATATTTAGCTTCATCAAAACTTTCAAAAACAATGCATTTTTCTTATATTTCAATATGAAAATATTTTCTCACCTCTGATGAGGAAGGTCGACTTGGATTGACTGACATCCTCTCCTCTGTCTGATTGGAACAGTTATCAGCTGAAATTTTGGGCTATTTTCTCTCTGTCATCATTTAAATGGTAACAAATGAAAGTTAAAACAGATTTTTAGCTTGTTTAGGCAGCATTCCACTTATGTCTTGTCTCTGATTTGTTCAAAAAGTAAATAATAATAATAATAATAAAATAAAGCACATAAGTATTACATTAGACTCAAAGTGAAAGCAGGAATGTTTATTGTTATCCTAATTTTAAAATATATATTATTGAGAAATAATAATAAATAAATATGTTGGTAATTGCAGTGAAATGAACACATATCCTATAAAGTCCCCAACTTGTGATAATATAAATATGATATTTCATAGTTATCTTATTTTAAATTTTGATATTTTGCTGAGATAGCAATATGAGACACTATATTTTCTTCACCAGAAAACCATGTGATTGCAAGGCTAAACAATCAGTGCTCTATTCGATAAGCTTCACATTCAAGAAATTACACGCACTAAATGTATTCCCAATTTAAAATATTTTCAACTTATGTCCACATAATCCCATTCTAAGCTTATGAATGTCTATATAATTAAGTAAATTGACAAATATTAATGGACCTGTGCTCAGGACATATTTTGCTATTCTAAATCATTTAATTTTTTGGCCCAAGTTAAGATTCAATTGCATTTATATAAAGAAAAAACATGTTTTATGAAGCAGAAAGCAGAAAGATTTGATTATATATTATTATATAAATACTTAAAGAATAACTAAAATGTTTAACTTTTGTATTTCTTGCTTTTTTAGCATTTAAAAAAATCTATTTCTTTTCATTGAAAACACAGATTTACAGAGAGGAAAGACAGACAGAAAAATCTTCCATCTTTCTTTTTTTTTATTTTATTATTATTATTATTATCATTTTATGATACAATTCCATAGGCTCCTGGCATTTCCCTTATCTCCTCCCTAATCCCCTCCCCCCACCTAGTTCTTCTGTATCATTACTAACATACAGTTCTTCATACATAGTCATATGTCCATCATTGCAGGCATGGACAATGGCAGAGAGTCCTGCATCCTATTGTCAAGATATAGTAAACAGTTTCATTGGGAGTCCATCTTTGTCTGGAAGTAGAAGTGCATACTACATTGTATCCTCACATCTGGATGTTAGTCTCCATTTCACAGCTATTGTACATCCCCTCAACTGAAAAGTCATAATACAAAATCAACAATAGAAAGAAAAATAGAAATTTACAATGTCATGAAGTTAAATGACATGTTACTAGATATGACAGTCTCCATTACACAGTTACTATACATCCCCTTAAATGAAAAACCACAAAACAAAATCAGCATCAGGGAGGTAAAAGAAATTAACAACACCATGAAGTTAAATAACATGCTACTAAATGACTAACGTGTAGCTGAAGAAATGAAAATCAAGAACCTTCTTGAAGAAAATGATGCTACTGTGTGATCTATGAGTCATTGAATGATTTAATCAGAAGAAAGTGTTTTGAAGAGATGAAACTGGGCCTGGCACGATGGCGCAGTGGTTAAGGTCCTCGCCTTGCATGCCCTGGGATCCCATATGGACGCCGGTTCTAGTCCTGGCAGCCCTGCTTCCCATCCAGCTCCCTGCTTGTGGCCTGGGAAAGCAGTCAAGGACGGCCCAGAGCTTTGGGACCCTGCACCCGCGTGGGAGACCCAGAAGAGGCTCCTGGCTTCGGACCAGCATAGCATCAGCTGTTGTGCTCACTTGGGGAGTGAATCATTGGACGGAAGATCTTCCTCTCTGTCTCTCCTCTCTGTATATCCACCTTTCCAATAAAAATAAAAAATAAATTTTTAAATAAATAAATAAATAAATAAAGAGATGAAACTAATGGAAAACAACAAAACCCATATAGTTTCCACTGATTTTTGTTGGTGAACTGTCTCTTCTAGACAATAAATAGATAGGTTTTGGTTTTTAATCCAGTCTACTAATCTATGACGTTTGATTTAGTTTAAGCCATTTACATTAAGGGTTAATATATATGGGTGGTACTTTGGTCCTGTCATTTTAGGAATGGGTTGTTCATTGGTTTATTCTTCTGTTGTCATTTTACTGGGATGTTCTTCCCATTTAGCTTTGGTTTTGGTGGGTGCTTTTCCTCTTCTCTATGAAGAGAACATCTTGAAGTATCACTTGTAGGGCAGGCTTGGACGAGGCAAATTCTTTTAACTTTTCTTTACTGTGGAAGAATTTTATTTCATTTTCAAAGACAAAAGAAAGCTTTGTTGGATATGTTGTCCTAGGCCAACAATATTTTGCTTTTAGAATCTGGAATATGTCACTCCATTCTCTTCTTGCCTGTAGAGTTTCCTGTGAGAGATCTCCTATGAGTTTAATTGGCATTCCTTTATATGTCAATTGATGTTTTCACATGCACATTTAAGAATCTTTTCCTTATTTTCGATTGAAGAGAGCTTGAAGATCATGTGTCTTGGTGAGATCGCTTTTGATCAAGCCTGTTGGGAGTTCTGTGCCCCTCCTGGATCTTGTTTCCCAATTCTTTCTCCAGATTAGGGAAATTTTCCTTTATTATTTCATTAAATACATTTGCAAACTCAGCTTCTCTTTCTGCACCTTCTGGGACTCCCATAACTCTTATATTAGGCCTCTTAACAGTGTCTTTCTATTCTTGAATACTTTTTTGGCCTGATCCAGCTCTGCTTCCAGCTTTTTGCTTGCTTCCCCCTGGTGGCAGGAGATATCTTCCAATTCTGAGATTCTTTCTTCTGCTTGTTTCATTCTATTTTGGAGACTCTCCACTCTATTTTTTCATTTGCTCCACTGTGTTCTTAATTTCTGATACATTAGCCTTGATTTGCTTTATTGCTTCCTTAAATTCTTTGAACTCTGGCATATGCTTCCCATTGTTGATCAGAAGCTTTAAAATGAGTTTTATGAATTCTGTGTGTCCCATTTTCTCGATGTCTTCCTCAGTTAACTCTGAGGTTGGCATAGGGTATTGGTCCTTTGCAGGGGAGTTTTCAGTGATATTCATTTTGCTTTTGTCTCTTCTTTTGCTCTTGGTCATTGTACCTTCTTCTTGGGCAGGTTTCTAAGCTCTGTTATCCTCAGGTCTACAATGTGATTTTACTTATTGCAGTTGGTACACAACTCTTTGCTTGCAGCCACTTGTGCCAGAACCTACATCTTTCCATCAGTTGGTTCACTCTCTAAATGGCCACAATGGCTGGAGCTGATCCAAAGCCAGGAGCCAGTTTCTTCTTGGCTTCCTACACAGGTGCAGGGTCCCAAGGCTTTCGGTTCTCCTCTGCTGCTTTCCTTGGCTGCAAGCAGGGATCTGGATGCGAAGTGGGACAACCAGGACACGAACTATGGCTATATGGGATGCTGATTCTTGAAGGCAGAGGATAAGCCAGTCGAGCCATTGTATCAGTCTCAATTCCTGGATTTTAATACAATAATAATAAATGAAAAAAAAATCACTCCAGATGAAGGTATCAGTTTTTAATTTTATAACTTTCTTGCATGTTTGTTCCATGTGTTTTCTCACATGACTTATTATAGTTTGCAAGAATGAACTATAAAATTAAAAATATATAGTGAACACTGAAAAATAGGGTAAAGTATTATTCTAAAGATTAGCAAAGTAGGATAATCCTTCAGGATCCATTCATCATGGCAACACCACTGCATAGGCTTTCTTTGGATTGCAAAGCATTGCCCCACCTTGGTTTACCTTGAAATAATTATTTAAATCCAATAAAACCTGAAGTTCCTCTGATCTAGTATTGACCACAGCTCTGTAAAATCCTACCAGATATCACTAATTATTTTAATGGTACAAAAGCTAAAAATTATTTCTTGGGATATATAATTAAATTAAATTAGTTGCATACATTATTTCCTGTATGAACTTCTTACAGCAATTAAAGCATGACATGTGATTTGTCATTTTGATCTTTTAAAATACAATTTGAAATATACTGTTATTTTAAGAAAACAGGTAGTCCCATTTCTATATCTATCTGAAGACTCAACCATTCTAATATTTGTTAGTAGTCTCCGTTATGACTCTAAATAAACTGACTGAGATACATACACAGTCATTTCCTCAATAGATAAGAATTAGTGGTAACAGTCTATAATAATGTGGGATGCGAAAGCAATAAGTAGTATTGTAGCCATGAAGCAAGCCCACGCCATGAGAAAGCTCTATTAGAAAACAGAAAAAGAGTTAAACATCAAGAATTACTAGGAACCAGTACAGGCTAATTCTTAGCCCAGCGGAGCCAGCTTCTCATGTGGGTGCCAGTAGATGTCCTGGATACTCCACTTCTAATCTAGCTCCCTGATTATGGGATGAGAAAGCAGCAGAGGATGGTCCAAAGCCTTGGGACCCTGCACACATGGGAGACACAGAAGCTCCTGACTTCTGGCTTTGGATCAGCTCAGCTCCGGCCTTTGCAGCCACTTAGGCAGTGAATCAGAATCTATCTATCTATCCTTTTCTCTGTAAAATCTGTCTGTCAAATGAAAATGAATGGATCTTAAAAATAAAATTACAAGTATACAGAGTGGAATATCTACACATATTACTGTCATATATAGATCTCTACAATACTCTCCCCTTTGCTTAAGTAACCTAAGACACTCTTTTTTTTTTTAATTGAAATCAAAAGAGGCTAATTAAAACCTCAGGCAAGCTTAGAGTTTTTCATTCCTGACCAAATTAAATTTCATATACGAACTCCTTTTATATAAAATGTGTGTTTTTCAATTTTTAAGCTGTGAATAATCAGCATATGAACAAAATAATGCTAACAGTTCAAACAAATGGAAACTCATTGTTGTGGGCTGAGGAGTTGATTAGCATTTGTTAAGCTTGGCTCCTGCAGGAAATGGGCTTGGAGGCTAGTGGAACCTTGTCTGTCAGCTTTATCTGCTCAGGTGTTGCTATCCTGTTTGTGTAAGCTACAGCAAGAGTTGGAAAAGGTAGGATTAGCTATAGCCCCAGACAAAATACAACTTGTTTCCCCATTTAA